CTCCTAACATACCCAAGAGAGCAATGGAAGATGCCCTAAACTTTTAGGACCCTGCTACCCAACTGAGAGACTGGAATAGAGTTCCTGATCCCTGGCTCATTTCTCTCGCTCTTTCCCTATCATTGCCATTTAGGTACAATGCTTACCAAAATCAAAACTAAACCAAACCCTACTATGCACACAAGAACTCTGAAAAATGCGTTTGCATTTACATTTCCAGCGAAACACTGTGGCAGAGTACGCATAACAAGGAAACAAATGCCTTTCTCCCCCTAAGTTAACGTTTGTACCACAGGTTAAGGAACTCAGAAGTCTACCTGCTCTCTTATTTTCCTCAATGAGGCCCCCTCCCAAAGAAGACACTGACTGCTCAAAGTATCCATGAGACACTCAGAAGCAGTGTAGACTTCTGCATGGGACACAGTGACCACCTGGCCTGCTCCCTCAGCACATCCTGGCTCCTCTTCCGGTCTCCAGTGACGTCTGGTGTGCGCAGGCTTGGCAGTGCAGACGTTTTGTTTGGCTCTTCTCCCACACTGGGCTCTCTGCTGCTGGATTTCTTCCTGATCCTGCATGGAAGGGACCAAACCAGCCCAGCCTCTGGACTCCTACAGAGCCGTTCTCCCCACCCCTGCAGGCCCAGAGTCAGCCGCACAAGCCAAGCCAGGGGCCTTTCTTTGAGACTCAGCCATTCCCACCGGCTCCACCCCACCCCACCCCCACTCCCAAAAGAGGCCAATATTTCCTAATTGGATCCTGCTTAATACAAATTCCCCTTTCCTAACATCCACGGTCTCAGCATTGCAGCCTCAGGGCTGAGAACTCCACCCTTGGAGACAATGGCAGCCCTGCCTCCCCAGCTGGCCGGATCCCAGCTGTCCACAGGCAGCCGTGGCCATCTGCAGGCCACGTGGGCTGCACCGCAGATCGCTGGTCCTCACCCTAGTCGGAAGGTAAATCTGAACGGCCCTCCATGACCTCAAGGGCCCGCAATAGTGGGTCCTGGGCAGGACCCAGTGGAAGAGCTGAGGTGTTCTCCTGCCTGGAGGCCAAGCTTCCCGGAGTTCCCTAAAGGGATCTGATGGAAAGCCCATCTGGTTCCCTGGCACTTCTCTGCCCAGGGCACTCCACCCCAGATCTCTCCACTAGTGCCATATCACAGTTCAACTTTATGGTGACTGTTTGAGAAACTCCGGTTAAAGAATCCCAGAAGTCTGCTTCTTTATATTTCCAAGTTCCATCAATAGAAAACTTTTTCCCAAAAAAAAAAAGAAAACTATCCTGCATGAGTCAAATTAAATTGAAACTCTAGAATGGGAATCAAGGACATATGGAACTAGCAGAGTTGAAATGTTCAATTTTTGCATAAGAAATCCCACTGCTCGTCTTTTACTACGGAACAAGGTAACACAGCATGAAATGTTACACATTAACAAGTGAACAGTGCCTTGGTTACATGCCAACGGGACAGCGCTGAAAACTCATCTCTTTTTTTTTTTCTACTTAGTGAAAATAAAAATCATAAAACTAGCAATTCAATCTTTATAAACGGAAGTAAAATATGTAAACTTCCCCCACGAGATGAATGCTGATCCACCAATCAGGGGTTGACAACACAGCTAGCCCTCTTGGTAAAAATGTACAGAATCCCAGACAAAAGACACCATGACTTCATTGTTCTGGGAACTGAGAACAAATACAAATGGAAAGTTACTTCAATGATGTTTTATCTAGACACACATACATGTATACACATATATATGCACATATGTCTATATATTTACATTTGAAAAAAACAGAATCATAAAAACAGATGCAGATAGAAATCTTCCATCCATTGGCTCACTCCCCAGATGGCTACAGCAGCTGGGGCTGGGCCAGGACGAAGCCAGGAGCCTAGACATCCATCCAGGTTTCCTATACGGATACAGGGACCCAAGTGTGGGCCATCTTCCACTGTTTTTCCCTGATCCTTATAGCAGGGAGCTTGGATCAAAAGTGGAACAGCCAGGACATAAACCAGCGCTCACATGGGTTGACAGCATTGCGGACGACCGCTTAACCTACTCTGCCACGATGCTGGTCCCCCCCCCCCATCCCTCCACTGCCAACCCGTCTTTCCAGGAGCAAGACTGAATTCAGAGAGTGAATCTACCAGGTTTGAATCCCAAATCTGCAATTTTGCAGAGTGTCACCTCTGTGTGATAGGTTCCTGCTGTGTCTTCTATTTCTTCAGCTCAAAGGAGATCACAGAGGTAGACACCTGGCCTAGTGTGTGAGCTGCCCATTCAGACGGTCATACCCCACATCAGAGTGTCAGAGTCAGGTGCCAGCTCCGAACCCCGACGCCGGCCCTTCTGCTAAGGTGGACCTGGGCGGCAGCAATGATGGTGGCAGGAGGAGTTGGGTTCCTGACAGCCACAGGAGATTAGGCTTGCGTTCCTGGCTTCTTGCTCTGACCCGAGAGGGAACCAGGAAATAGGAGCACACACTCTCTCTCATAAAAAGGTTAAAAATAAATAAAATAGCAAAGGTAAACCAAGTCTTAAGACTGCTATCATGAAAAGAAATTAAATGAATGACTATCAATGTAAACTTTTGGATACTGTCTAGCACAAAATGGAAACTCATAGACAACGAAAACAAGTCAGCAACATTACTTGGAATCATTCCACTACTATTATCTCCATTATTGGAAAAGACTTGGACCAAAAAAAAAAAAATTAAATATCCCTTTATTCCACTCGGAGCTTAGTATGATGAAAAAGAGACAAAAAGAAACAGCCAAGTTGAATGGAAGAAGCTGAAACGAATGTTTTTTTGGTGAAAATCCCTAGGAGAGAGAACTTGAGAGCTCAACAGTTTCAGTATAAACAAGCAATAGAACTGAGTGGACACATAAAAGCAGATGCAAGAAAACTACTAAAGCAAACCTTGTTTGTCTTTGTAGATATTGAGATAAACCTGCAAATCATGCCAGGGGCCTGAACGGTAATAGAACAAGTCACTGTTCCAAGAAGACAGAGATCCAACTGATGACGCTGAGGGGGGAACTTCCAAGTGGCAGTGAGAAGCCAGCGGGCTTACAAGTGGGGAAACAGAAAAATAAACAGAGTTCGCAGAGCACGAACCAATTTGCATGTAGTAAAGGATGAGGGCCAGGACCACTCGGTGAAGAAGCCAGAAACTTCTCCCAGGGGCTGGGCCCGGGGCCTCCGCTAGGCCCAACAGGACATCCACATCCGAACCTCAGAAGGGTCAGCCTCAGGGCCAGCGGTCAGGTGCGGCCATACACCTGCCGAGTGAGGGTCCCTCTAGGGGTTCATCTCCACACCCCGCTAGAAATGACCTTGACTTTGGATGGTATATTCTGGCTTCTGGATTTCACAGAGGGAACAAAGAAGGGTTAGGTGGTCCACAGGGTAAACCAAACAAGTCCCCGCCCTTTTGCCCAAGAGCAAGTTTCCCCAACATGCAATGACATGACAACTGTTGGCCTCCCTGTTGGCCAAGTAACTTGCTGCCTCATGGTAGCTGACTGTGCTGAAAATCTATGGAGCTTTCTCTTAAAGGTCCTTGTTAAGGCCCTGCAGGTCAGTTCAGCGGCTATAAAACCTCACCTTGCAAGTTCTGGGATCCCATATGGGGTCTGGTTGGTGATCTGGCTGCTCCACTTCCCTTCCAGCTCCCTGCCTGTGGCCTGGGAAAGCAGTCGAGGACGGCCCAAAGCCTTGGGATCCTGCACCCACCCAAGTGGAAGACCCAGAAGCGGCTCTGGATTCCTGGCTTCAGATCAGCTCAGCTCTGGCCATTGTGGTCACTTGGGGAGCAAACCTGTGAACGAAGATTTCCCTCTCTTTCTTTTTTCTCTGTTAAAAAAAGAAAGAAAACCTGCCTTTCCAATAAAAAAAAAAAAATCTTTAAACAAACAAAAAAGGACTTGTTGCCAACTTTGCAACTGGAGCCTGGGTAAGTCTCTATTCCAACTGACCAGAGAGCTACCTTCTGGCTCATCAGTGTTAAATGACATCTCCCTGATGACATTTCAGCAGCCATCTTTGAAGTGCAACGTGTGTGCTGGGACTTTCCGCATTCCTCCCCTCTGTTCCCGTCACATTCAGTCTCTTAGTCGTGTCTAGTTACACACCATTTATCCTGACTCCATAAATTCCCGGAATGCTTTCTGAAACAAGGAGACGGATTTTGGCCTTGACTGTACTTGTCCCTTTTGTCTGCAATCATACAATGTTCTTTCTCAGAAGATGAAATCAGTGTTGTTATAATAACAATACTGTGTGTGTGTGTGTGTGTGTGTGTGTGTGTGTGTGTGTGTGTGTGTGCGCAAGTTAAGGGTAAGCTTGTTGTACAAGAGCTGGTAAGGCCTTTTTTTTTTTTTCCTCGCTCTCTCTTTTTTTTTTTTTTTTTTTTAAGATTTATTCATTTCCGGACCAGGCCGCGCCGGAGGATGAAGATGGCCGGACAGGCAGCGGAAATGGAGGGGCGGCCGGCAGCAGCAGCAGCAGCAGCAGCAGCGGCGGCGGCGGCAGCGAAGGCGGCGGCGGGGTTGACGGAGGCGGCGACCCGGGCTGGAGTGCTGTGACTTCGCATGCGGTAGCGATCCGGGGTGGAGCGGCCTGAGCCGCGAGCGCGTAAGGCCGGGTGGAGAGGATGCCCCGGGAGCGGCGGGTGGCTCCCCGCGCCCAGGGCGCAGAGCCTTAGTGCTGGCGGACGGAGCGGCGCGCGCGGGCCGGCCGGACCGGGACGAGGGCGAGGGCGAGGGCGAGGGCGGCGGGGCCCGCGCCATCATGCCGTGGCTGAGCGGCGGCCGGCGGCGGCGGAGGCGGCGGGGACAGGGACAGCAGCGGGAGGCCCCCCGGGAGCCGCCGCCCTCGCCCGCGCAGGCCCCGCGGGAGCAGCCGGCGCCCCCTGCGCCCTCGGCCCCGCCGCCGGCCGCGGTTCCCTCGGTGTCTTCCGCGCCTCCGCCGCCCCGGGCCCGGGAGAGCGCACAGCTGCCGCTGCCCGCCGGCTGGGAGGAGGCGCGAGACTACGACGGCCGGGTCTTCTATATCGACCACAACACGCGCCAGACTTCGTGGATCGATCCCCGCGACCGGATAACAAAGCCATTGACCTTTGCCGACTGTGTCGGGGACGAACTTCCTTTAGGATGGGAAACTGTCTACGACAAACAGATCGGGATTTATTACATGGACCACATTAATAAGCTCACCCAGCTTGAGGACCCGAGGGAACAGTGGAGACGAGAGCAGGAGAGGATGCTCAAGGAATATTTAATTGTGGCCCAGGAGGCCCTGAATGCCAAGAAAGAAATCTACCAGATCAAGCAGCAGCGCTTCGAGCTGGCTCAGGAGGAATTCCAGCAACTGTACAAACTGTGTGAGGATGACAGCCGCTCCTATGCCAGCTCCTTCTCTGGGTATTCCACCAACACAAAGTATGACCCACACCAAATCAAAGCCGAGATTGCCAGCCGCCGGGATAGGCTTTCCAGATTAAAACGAGAGCTGACCCAGATGAAGCAAGAACTGCAGTACAAGGAAAAGGGAGTGGAGACTTTGCAAGAGATCGACCGGAAGATGTCAAGTGCGCATACCAGCTACAAACTGGATGAGGCGCAGGCCATCATGAGCGAGCTTCGCACCATCAAGAAAGCCATCAGTACAGGCGAGCGGGAACGCCGGGACCTCCTCCAAAGCCTGGCCCGGCTGACTGATGGCTTTAAGAATAGTTGCTCCATCACTGACTCGCTGCAGGATTCCCCTTCCCGTTCCGGTTTGCCTGGCGAGTCTCCCCTGCCTCCCCAGTTCTGTGATGCCGGTTCCCAGACGGATACCATCGGGGAGTTGGTCTTTGATGATAAAACGAGACTCGCAGACAGAGTCAGACTTAATTGGCAGTATGAGGAAGCCAGAAAAAGAGTCTCGCATATCCAGCAGCAGCTGGCCCAACTCGAGAACGAATCCTGGCCCGGCATGGCGGAGGCGGACAGAGATAGGCTGCAGCTCATCAAAGAGAAAGAGGCCCTGTTGCAAGAACTCCAGCGCATCATTCAACAGCGGCGTTCGGTGGAGGACGTGGCCCGGCTGGAGCAGGAGAGGAGGCGCCTGGAGGAGGAGACCCAGCGCGCTCGCGCCTCGTCTGCGCAGGGAGCCACAGAGAGGATTCTGCTGCAAGAAAAGAGGAACTGCCTACTTAGGCAGCTGGAAGAAGCTACCCGCTTAACATCGTACCTCCGGTCCCAGCTGAAAAGCCTGTCCGCCAGCACCTTGACCGTGTCTTCGGGGAGCAGTCGTGGGTCCCTGGCCTCCAGCCGAGGCTCGCTGGCCTCCAGCCGCGGCTCCCTGAGCTCCTTGAGTTTCACCGACATCTATGGCCTACCGCAGTACGAGAAGCCGGACGCCGAGAGTGGCCAACTCCTGGGCTTCCACCTGATCCCCTCTGACTCACTGGGGCGCGATGCCCCCTTGGCAGACCCACTCGGCCCTTCAGGCTTCCAGAAGCAGCGGCGGTCACTGGACACGCCCCAGTCCCTAGCATCGCTGTCTTCTCGTTCCTCCCTGTCCTCTCTGTCGCCTCCCAGCTCGCCCTTGGACACGCCCTTCCTCCCGACGTCCAGGGACTCGCCTCTGGCGCAGCTGGCAGATGCTTTTGAGGTGCCAGGCCTGGGTGCCCTGGACAGGTTACGTGCGCAAGCCTCCGCCCTGGGGGATGAGGATCTACCCAACTCGGCTTCCCTTCAGCAGCACGCATTCGCCGGGGACGGTGAAGGACCACGTGAACGAGGTCCCCAAGTGGCCAGTGGTGCGGCGGCAGGAACAGTAACTCCTCTTCGAGAAGACAGCGCCAAGAGGCTGGAGAGGAGAGGAAGCAGCGTATCTGCCTGCCTGTCGGATTATTCGCTAGCAGGTGATAGCGGAGTGTTTGAACCCTTATCCAAAAGGGACGGAGAGACGGAAGAGCCCGCGCTGGGAGAGGTGAGCGGGAAGGAAGAGCCACAGATTCACGTGGGGTTCTTGCACGACCGCGCTAGCCAGTGTCTCCTGGTGCACGTGCTTCAACTGAAGAACTGTGCTGGGCTGCTGCTCAGCCAAGACTGCAGAATCCACATCCGCATCTACGTGCCTCCCCTGGACGCTGGCACTCCCAGCACTTACTGCTCCAAGGCCCTGGAATTCCAGGCGCTGCTGGTGTTCAACGAAGTCTTCAGAATCCCTGCGCATTCCAGCATGCTGACGCTGAAAGCGCTTCAGTTATACGTGTGTTCGCTGAACGCACAGCTACAGGAGGAACTCCTGGGCATTGCTCAGATTCACCTGGCTGACTGGGAGAGTTCGTGTGAGATGCAGTTGCACTGGTACTCGGTGCAAGTCTTCACCAGCCCTGAGCCCCCACGGACAAGGGAGCCCAGACACCCCACCAAGGGCATCTCCGGGGAGCCTGAACGTGCGCCCTGCGGCAAGCCTGACGCCGTGACGGCGCTGCTGGCTAGGACCACGGCCCAGCTGCAGGCTGTAGAGAGAGAGCTGGCCGAGGAGCGCGTGAAGCTGGAATACACGGAGGAGGAGATCTTGGAGATGGAACGCAAGGAAGAGCAGGCCGAGGCCGTATCCGAGCGGAGTTGGCAGGCCGACTCAGTGGACAGTGGCTGTGGCAACTGCACCCAGACCAGCCCCTCCTACCCAGAATCCTGTTGTGCTGGTGTGGACTCCTTTCACGGATACGTGTTTGCTCCTCAGGCAGACCCGTACAGCCCTGAGAAACTTAAACCCCCACCTGTTAAGGTTGACAAGGAAACCAACACGGAGGACCTCTTCCCCGAGGAGGTGGTGCGCTCTCTGAAGGACCGGCCCTGCCGCCGTGCCCGCGGGGCGCCCTTTGCACGGGGCAGCACCATCGTCCGCTCTCAGACCTTCTCGCCCGGGGCTCGGAGCCAGTACGTGTGCCGACTCTATCGAAGCGACAGCGACAGTTCGACGCTGCCTCGGAAGTCCCCCTTTGTTCGAAATACTTTGGAAAGACGAACCCTCCGCTCTAAGCAGCCCTGCAGGTCTTCCCTGGCTGAGCTCATGGCCCGCACCTCCCTGGACTTGGAGCTGGATCTCCAGGCGTCGAGAACGCGGCAGAGGCAGCTGAACGATGAGCTCTGTGCCCTTCGTGAGCTGAGGCAGCGGCTGGAAGACGCTCAGCTGCGAGGTCAGACAGACCTTCCGCACTGGGTGCTCCGGGACGAGCGATTCCGCAGCCTCCTTAAGGAAGCCGGCCGACAGACCAGACAGACCAAACTTGACTACCATCAGGAACAGGCAGCTGAGAAGATGCTCAAGAAGGCCTCCAAAGAGATCTACCAGCTGCGTGGCCAGAACCACCAGGAGCCCATTCAAGTACAGACCTTTAGGGAGAAGATAGCATTCTTTACACGACCAAGGATTAACATACCTTTACCAGCAGATGATGTTTAATGTAGTGCATTGTACCCATCAAGTATTTGTCTGCCTGTTTTTTCATGAAGTTCTTAGATGAGCTAAATGTGTCTTTAAAATATTTGTGCAAAGCTATTAATATACACATTTTATAAAAAAAAATTCTATATTATATATATATATTTTATAATAGTGACGGCAACAGGGCTTGGTTTTTCCTTGTTGTGAAATCTACATCTCTGAAGACAAGTTACTTTATAAAAGATCAACTATCAAGAGTGTACAGTTTTTATGCTGTTTTTAATTTGACTTAGAGGCTGCAAGACAGAAACGAAGTGAGTTCAGGCAAATTCACTGCAGTGTAATTTATTTATAATACTGTTTTTTCCTTGAAGGAAAAAAAAAAAAAAAACAAAACCTAACTTTAAGATGTATTTTAAGACTGAAATTCTGTTCTTTGGTATTCGTCATGCAGTTGAATGGAAGCTGGAGGGGGGTGGGACGGGTGGCTGGTTTTGTTTCTGACACCCCAAAATGTAAACACTATGGACACCCCAAAATGCAAGCGCTGTGTGCTAAATTGTCACTTGTAGCAATTTCTCGTTTACATGCATTAACCTTGTATAGAATGCACCTTCACAGTCCATGTATGTAAGCCTATCAAGAGCAACGATTCCATAGCAATGACTCATCTGTGCATGTGTCCTGGGCAGTGATGGCTCCATGTTGCTATCTCGTTGTCTAATGCATCTTTTTGTGCTTACCATGCAGCTAAGGGTGGTGGGCCTGCTGCCATGCAGCCGTGGCCTAAAAAGGGGCATGAGACGGAAAGCAGGAGCGCATGTGTGACTCTGGCGTTGAATCCAGCAGCGACCAGATTGCGTGGTGGCAGGAAGGGCGGGTGGGTCACTAGAGTTAGCCAGGGAGTCAGCCCCTTGCAGGGGAGGATTTCAATCCGAACGTAACCAGCCGCCCCCTCTGACTTAGAATCTACCCGGTAAGACTCACAGGCTTGACAACTAGTTCATAAGGAGAACTCCCGTTTTCATGTAATAAGTTTGCCATTCTTTCAGAGGCCAAATGACATAAGTATTTTGCCCAGATCTGGTTTATTGTATATGGAATGCACTCTCCTTGACAAGTGAATGATTCACAAGAAAAGTCAGAGCAAACACGGCTCTGTTTCCTGGATTTTTCTTTCTCTCCCTTGGAAACGTTTTGCACTTCTCGGTCTGTGTACCCACCCACTCCCGGTATATAACCCGCTTTCCTTTTTACACTCATTAAAAATGAATCTTGTAGAAGCATTTCATGGACACACGACCAATCACAGACAATGGAGTTTGTCAGTGGTGGGAAGATTGAAAACTTGATGCTTTTCATGGCTGTCGTTTCTTGCTATGATATATTCCTGCTTCTAGTCTAACTTTTATTTTTAATTTTTTTTTTTGGCCAATTCATTTTTGTACATACCCACAACAGAGGTGCTCATCCAAAGGTGTCAGTCCTTTCCAGAAGTGCCACTTAACAGACAGCACTGCTGGACAAGGCCCTGCACTCCCGCGGGAGGCTCTTGGCAACTTCAATGAAGAGCCAGCTACTGCTGGACTCTGAGCTTTACAAAGCCCCATCACCTAAGTTTTAAGGTGCAAGGTGCTCCACACCAGGACGGGGCCCTCAGGTGCATGACCTAGTGTCCAGGTCAAGGGTTGAGGCAACTTCTAAGTCCTACGAAAGTAGGAATGTGCTGAACACTCGCCGACCCAATACAGAAAGTTCCCAGACTTGGGCTGGCAAATCGCTTTCCATGTACAGCTGATTCAGATATCTCGGGGGGCAGGGGGAGAGCTTTCTTAGAGAAAGAACAGCCCCACCTAGGACACAAGGGAAGCAAACATGGCCCCAGCCTTGGAATCCCTCCAGGGAGTACTTCCGTGCCTCTCGGCTCCACCTCTCCCTGCCTCAGTGGGCAAGGCTCCTCCTGGCTTCTCCTTCGTGGCAGCCACCTGTGGCCGTCAGGAAAGTCCTGGAGGCTGCAGGGGCCGGGCCTTGCAGAAACTTTTGCTGTGTTTTCTGAGCAGTTCCGACCCAGAAAGGCTCAGAATTCTGCCACTGGGTTTTCAGAAATAAGTTGTGTGTAAAAGGGAATCTGGCTTTATCGAATCGCAAAATTGTCACACTCTGGTTGATAATCACGGAAATAAGAGCCTTCTGTTGTGAGAATGAATGATAATCCGTATCCATCTCTTTGTTACTGTCAGTGTTCACGAATTGTGTCATTTGTATGCTATCAAAATGACTTCTATAACATTAAACTAACTTGCCTTAAAAAAAAAATGTATTCATTTATTTAAAAGGCAGAGTTAACAGAGAGGGAGCGACAGAGCGATCTTCCAGCTGCTGCTTCACTCCCAACTGGGCCAGCTTCAGCCAGAAGCCCAGAACTCCACGGGGCTCTCCCACATGGAGGGTAGGGGCTCAAGCCTGTGTGCCATCCTCCGCTGCTTTCCCAGGCACATGAACAGAGAGCTGGGCCAGAAGTAGAACAGCCAGGACTTTGAACCAGCACTCAAAATGCACACTGGTATTGTAGGCAGCCACTTCATTAGCTGTGCCCAACACTATCCCATAGAGCTGACAGGTTTTCAGACAAATTCAGGGCTTCTCCTTGTCTCCACCGTGCACTCACACAAAATTAGGTACCTGTACCTATTATTTTTTTAAAGATCTATTTATTTCTATTAGAAAGTCAGGTTTTACAGAGAGGAAGAGAAACAGAAAGCTCTTCCGTCCACTGGGTCACTACCCAGGTGGCCATACTTTCTGGAGCTGAGCTGATGCAAAGCCAGAAACCAGGACCTTCTTCCGGGTCTCCCATGTGGGTGCAGGGTCCCAAGGCTTTGGGCCGTCCTCCGCTGCTTTCCCAGGCCACAAGCAGGGAGCGGGATGGGAAGTGGAGCACCCTGGATATGAACTAGCACCCATATGGGATCTTGGCACATGCCAGGAGAGGACTTTAGTCACTAGGCTACCACGCTGGAACCAAGCTCTATTCTTATTTGGAAGGCAAAGTTGAGTCACAGAGAGAGTCTTCTAACCACTAGTCTACACCCAAAGTGGTCACAGAGCTAGGACTGGGCCAGGCTGAAGCCAGGAGCTTCTTCCAAGCCTCCCACATGGGTCTAGGCACTTAACCACTTGGGCCATCATCCACTGCTTTCCTATGTGCGTTGCGCATTAGCAGGGAGCTGGACTGGAAGCAGAACCGGTGGCACTCAAACTGGTCCCCATAAAGATGCCAGTACTGCAGGTGGCAGCAGCTTTACGCACTGCAGCACAGCGTCTGCCCGGGTACTGTGTTTAAGTGTTTATCTTATAGTGGTCATCACAAGGGTGAGGGCAGAACAACTGTAGACCCACGCAGGGGGCCAGGGAGGGAAGAGGGGTGAGGGGGTGAGAGATGTGTCTGTGGGGGAGCTGCTCCTTGTGGTCAGACTGTATTAGCGACAGGAATAGAGATGGTCAGGGCCCTCGGACATGGGGAGGATGTCCTGGCGATGTTACTTGACTGGTCACTGTGCCCGAGGTGACTTGTTCCATCTGTCCTCCCAAGGGGCTCTTCCTGACCCTAAGTCCTCAGCCCCGTTGCTTGTACATGTCAATGAGTGTCCACGGGCTTGGGTTCTTTCCACTGAACTTGGCCTGAAGTGTTGTGCCACCCCTGGAGGAGGAACTCGGGGTCTTTTGGTAGATTAGAGGAGCTGCTGGTCTGGTCTTACATGTGCATCGGGGCGTGTTCCTCCTTCCTCTGGAATCAGCACCAGGGGGTGCCTGGGTCCCCACAACATGTGCTGCCCAGTTGGACCACACATCTATGGGATGTTCCCGACTCCGAAGATCTCACCGGTCCAAGGTACTCAGGGATTCTGGGGGCCCACTCCTGACCAGGTCACCCCACCCAGCCTGCCCCCAGCCCGCTTCTCAGGCTTCTTGGTGGGTGCTGCAGCCTGCTGGGGACCACCAGGTGCCCTATTTATTCTTTGTATCTGTGGGGTGTGTTGGCCTGGCTGGAGAGCCCCTCCAGGTCAGTCCCCAGACCTAGTTCCCGTGAGTGCCAGCAGGTACAACAGTCTGACCTGGCCCGGCCCCGGCACTCAGGCATACCTCCTTACGCCCCATTGGGCTGCTTCCCGGAGCCAGCGGCTCGCATGTGCACCATCAGGTGCAACGGCCCGCTTCTGCTTGCCTCCACACCCCACCCTTACACCCACGAAGGGTGCCCGGACCTGGTCGAAGCAACCTTCAGAACCCCATCAAGGCAGATGGCGTGCCCCAGCGTGTGCTACAGCCTAGTTTTTTTAATTGCTTTTTAAAATGCAGTGTCAGCATCACTGTCACATAGAACCCCTTTACATAGAAATGAGAATACAGCTTTCAATTGCTCACCACTGTCTGCAAGTCCCTTCTGCCCTCCCACCCCCCACCCCGGCCCCCGGAATGATTCCAAAGGGGGGCATCTCCCAGACAGCTGCCTTCTCCCTCTGGGAGCGAGGCACACCTTAAAGATGGATTTATAGAAGTTAGTACATTAAAATACTGAAAATAAAGGATCCGCGATGTCCTACTATTTAATTAGTGAGTTTCAATTTAACAATTCCTATCTATAAAGTATTCTGGAGATTACTGAAAGAGGTCCTGTTACCCCAACATTCAGAGGGGATTTCATGGGGTGGAAGAGGCTCACGGCCAGACTTGGGGGTGGGTTGTCAAGGCACATTGGACGAGCCAGGAGCTGACCGGGACACTGTTTGGAACATCTGCATGTCCCAGAGAGTGCTGGATTCCAGTCCCAGCTACTCTGCTTCTGGTCCATCTTCAGGCTAACAGTGCCTACAGTCCAGTAGACAGACCAAGAGTCGGAGCTCCTATCTCCCGTATCAGAGACCCCAACAGAGTTCTGGATTCTTACCGTCAGTCTGGTCCACCTGTAACCATTGTGCACATTTAAGGAATGTACCAGTTGACAGGAATACACATATCTTTTTAAAAAAAATACCCAATGATTAATTTTATATAACTTAAAATACAGATTGGAAGGGTCAGTGTTGCGGTATAGCCAGTTAAGTCACTGCCTGCGACACCTGCATCCCATTTCAGAGTGGCATTAGTTCCAGCTGTTCTTCTGACCCAGCCCTCTGCTCATGTAGCTAGGATGGGAACAGAAGATGGCCAGATTACTTGGGTTCCGGCCAAACTACATGGGTAGCTGGACAGAGTTCTAGACTCGGATTTGGCCTGGCACAGTCCAAGCTATTGTGGACATTTAAGGAATAAGCCAGAAGATGGATCTCTCTCACTTTGCCTTTCAAATAAATAAATAAGTCTTTTAAAAGAAATATACAGAGTGGCAATGAAATCTTGAAAGAAATGTAAGAACATTTCACAAAAGCAACTTTAAAAGGTTTTCAAATTGATTCCCGGTTAAAGCGTGCCCTCTGCTGGAGAGATCTGGTTTTGTAAACTCAACTTCCCAGGACACTAAACTGAAATCTGAACTCACAATATGAAGAGTAGTACTATCTTGCTCTCAAATACAACGATTAGATATTTTATCCACAATATCTGGCTTCCCCTTGGTCCTTGTCTTCCAAGGCAATATTCAAGATTGCCATCTCCCTTGCCTAACACAACTATTCAAAGTTCTGTTTTTGTCTTTGCTTCATCTGGGATGCAACAAGATTGGAACCCATAGAACAGAAACTCTGCCCAACATCATCATTCCCCAGATGGCCACAACAGCCACATCTGGGGTAGACCAAAGCCAGGAGCCAGATTCTCTCTCCTGGTCTCTCACGTGGATGTCAGAGGTCCCTGCACTCGGTGGGCTACCCTCCACTGCCTTCCTCAGTACCAGGAAGTTGAATAGGAAGCAAAGCAGCATTCCAATATGGAATTCCATCATCACAAACCAGTGGTTTAAACCACTACATTACAGTCCAATCCCCCATCCCCTTCTTACAATGAGTTATCCATTGGAAAATGGATCATTTCTTCGGGGTACTGCCCAACCAACTTTGCATAAGCCATCAATGCTGTATAGTTTCCATCCAAGCTTTACTGTAAATTTGATTTTAATTTTTGCTGCCATTTTAGCAATAATTCATGTTGTTCTGAAAGGAGCTCTTACACATCTAAGCCTTTCTTTAAAGAATATCTGTCCATTTGTTTTAAAGGCAGAGTTAGTTGTTGGGTCAGGCAGAAACTAGGAGTTTCACCCAGGAGTCCCTGTTGGTAACAGGGATCCAAGTACTTAAGACTCAAACCACTGTTACGATATGGGATGCCGGCACCACAGGCAGTGGCTTACACCCACTACACCACAATACTTAGATTGAGGGGCCTCCTGGCTGCTCTGCCTGTGAGAAAGTCCAAGAGTTCATGGAGGACAAGCAAGCCTCCTGGTTCACAGCTCTAGCTGAACACCCAGCCAGTACCCAGCACAACCTTGCTAGACGCGCACAGTGAACATACGGGGTAGACATCAGCTGTCCCTAGAGCACGTGCCAGAATTTTACATCTTGAGCAAACTAAGTGATTCCTGTTGCTTCAATCCACCAAATCAGTCTGTCTCTCTCTCCTCTCTCTCTCTCTCTCTCTCATGCTCTCTTTCCAATAAAAATAAATAAATCTTAATTTAAAAAAAGAACGAAGGAAAAGAGGATGCTAGATTAACATTTGATAGTGCAAAAATAATTATTAAACGAGCTGGGCCCAGCAGGCTAGTTCATGCAAAGAAAGGCTTTGAGAAGAAGAGCTCTTCTGCCATCAACACAGTGGTGAGCCAAGAGCTCACCCTCAGCACTTGCCGAAACATACACAGAACAGTTTTCAGACAGTAAAGGAAAAAAAAGAAAAAAGAAAAAACCAGAAGTCTGCCATGTCTGCCATGAAGGAGATGCGGGCTCCGGATGCCCACCCTGATACAGGCTCTACAAAGCGGACTGAGCCAAAGCAACATATTGCAGCAGCATGAGAGTGTCCAGAAAACTTATTAATGGGAAAGACTTTGGACCAACGAGAGCTACATTTGAATCACCTACGTATGTCAGTCCTTTCAAAAATCTATAGTCAATGTAGATGAGAACCAACTGCTGATTAAAGAAAGAAAACTGCAGAATAGACGTTCCAGAGAGGAGAGAGAGCAGAAAGAAGGAAACTGGATAGTGCCTTCATAGCCATCTGTGACTACCATGGACCCATGGAACCCCCTCAGAGCTGCCAGATAATAATGCGCATCCGGCCCCTGGGTCAACTAATGCCAACGGATGCTAGAAGTGCATCCTGACTAACCAGGCCTTTTGACCTTCTTCCAACTGAATTTAAATGTTCGATTGTCGGCAGTGACTTCACAGGGCTTAGAACCACTTAGAAAAATCCTATAGCCAGGACCAAGGCTCTAGAATAGTGGGTAAAGCCAGGATTGGTAGCGTTAGTATCCCATATGAATGCCAGTTCAAATCGCGGCTGCTCCATTTCCCATCCAGCTCCCTGCTAACATCCTGGGAAAGCAGCAGAAGATGGCCCAAGGGCCTGTGCCCCTGCAGCCACAAGGGAGACCTGGAGGACACTCCTGGTCCAGCTCTGACCATTGTGGTCATTCGGAGAGTGACTCAGTAGGTGAAAGATACTGTCTTTCTGTCTTTTTCTAACTCTGCCTTTCAAATAAATACAGATTTAAAAAAAATCCTGGATATCCACTCAGGTGCTTTGCTTAAACAGGGCTTCTTTTTTTTTTTTAATATTTACTTCTTTATAGTAGAAAAGCAGATTTACAAAAAGAAGGAGAGACAGAGTAAGATCTTCCATCACCGATTAACTGCCCAAATGGCCACCACGGCTGGAGCGGAGTTGATCCTGAAGCCAGGAGCCAGGAGCTTCTTCCAGGTCTCTCACACACCGGTGCAGGGACCTGAGTCTTTGGGTGATCCTCCACTGCTTTCCCAGGCCACAACCAGGGAGCTGGATGGGAAGTGGAGCAGCCAGGAACACAAACCAGCGCCCATATGGGATGCCAGTGCTTGCAAGGGAAGGATTTAACTGCTGAGCTTTTACAGGCACCCCTACGTGGGCTTCTTCAATGGCTGGGACTATGGTTCCCATTTTCACTGTCGCCATGATTCTAGCAATATCTTTTCTTCTCATCTACTTTTTTCCCTAGGTGCTCCTGCTGCCACAAGACTGACCCACATCTGGATTCAAGTGACCTTAATTGGTTCTTTTCTTGCTTTCATCTCCAGAGTGGTGGCCCACTTCCCTTTTTGAGGGTACCCTGCTCTGGCCTCCCCCAAATCCACAACGGTACAGATAACCACGGCGAGAAGGTATGCCAGTGAAGAGGGGGACAGAGAGGGAGCTAGTATCACCCCAAGGGGCCAAACGGAAACACCAGGGCGGTCTGTAGCGCAAGACTTCCCCACCCTGGCAGCAAAGACTTCATCCTGCCCTGAGTCCCAGCATCCTGCATACCCAACTTCCTCCGGCTTCCTTCAGTACAGCATACATGTGCCACCTGCTGATGGGCTGATGTGCCCAGTTTAGCATACATGCGCCTGCCACCTGCTGATGGGGCCCAGGTAGGACTCCAGCATGAAGTCATACCTTCCTGTTTCACGTCAAACCCAGAAGATCCCCTGCCAACAACCTAGGAGTGGTTCCCATGGGAAAGACAGTGAGAAAGACCCCAGCCCATGGCCCCTGTCGCTGCCCACCCGCCCTTTCTTCTGTAACATCTCCACACCCGATGTCTTTTCTATACTGATGGGCGAGCCATCCACTTGTGTCCACTCCCTGTCCAGACACACAAGCTCTTGGCCACCAAGTACCACATTCTCCAGTGACTGGTCACCGTGGCGCAGCCTGCAGACTGTCCTTGCAAAGGGGACATATATGATTACACTTCAAAACGACGGGTTTGGTAACAGAGACAACGCGAGGGAGCTGGACCAGATTCCGTGTCATCTTCTGACAGGCCCACCGACTCACGCCTCTAACTCCCCCAGCCACCCTCTCCCAGGGCGCCCTTCCTTCCCTCCACACCCTACCCGGGGCCCTCCCAAGGCACATCTCAACGCCTCCTCCGGGCCGTCCTCCGGGACTGCCCCCCAGCTTCCCGCCCATCCTCCGAGGACGACACGGCCGCCACGGCCACGGCCACGGCCGCGTGGCTCCCGTACCTCGCAGACCTGAGGAATGCTCTCGTCCTTGAAGTAGTTCCTCACCGTGGGGCTGGCGGTGCGTAGGGACGCCATAGCCGGAGAGGCCCGGGGCCTTGACTACCCCCCGGCGGGCGCCAGGCGCAGCTGGGACGCGCGACGCGGCCGAGGAGGGCGGAGCGCGTCTCGGCGTTGCCGTGGGAACGGCGGCGGCGGGGGGCGGCGGGAGCGCGCGCGGGGCCGAGCTCGCGTCAGGACGGTCAGTCAGTCAGTCAGTCAGTCAGTCAGTGGGTGTCCCCGCTCCTGGCAGCGCCCAGCTAGCGCCCCTTCCGGCCTGGGGGAGCCCCGTGCCGCAGGGTGGCCACCTCAGGGTCCCGTCGACCCCAGCGGGTGTTGTTTTTTTTTTTTTTTTTTTTTTAGGCAGTGAGCCCAGCCGCTTCCGGGAGGCGGAGCTCCGGCGGCGGTTTCCTCTCTCCTCAGCCCGGCGGCGGCGGCCATCCCCGCGTGATTTGCAGAGCATCCCGCCTCACACACACACACGCACGCACACACACACGCACCCTGACCCCCCGTGCTGCGCCCCCCGGGGACCCCGAGGCGGCATGAGCGGCGCCCGGCGCGCGAGCTGGCTGGCGGCCGGCCTCATCCTAGGGGCGGGCGCCTGTTACTGCGTGTACAGGCTGACGCGGGGCCGGCGGCGGGGCGGCCGCGGGCTCGGTCCGCGCCCCGCGAGATCGGCAGGTGAGGCCGCCGGGGAGCGGAGGGCAGTGGGGAGGATGGAGGGCGGAGAGGAAAAAACAAAACAAAAACAAAAAAAACTGAGGAGGGAGCGGGCGAGGGAGCGACTCGCGTGGGCTTGCCGGGGCCGTGGAGGCCCCTGAGCGACCTCCCTGCCTCCACGCCATTGTTCTCAGCCCTGGGATGCACGGTCGCTCCCCTCCCCACCCCACACACACACACACCATCTTGGTGTGCGTGGATGCGTGTGTCTTGTCATCCCCCCCACCCACCCACCCCCTCGGGAGGACAAATGCATGTTGAGGTTTCTGTCCCAAAGCTACTGATGCTAGAACCAAAAACGCTAGGTTTGCCGACTGACTGTTCTTGCAAGGGAAATGTCAGGTCCTGGAAACGGTTAGGGAAGTGGGTGGGCGTGGCTCGGGACACCCGCATCCCGTGTGGGTACACGCCTGGTTTTGTCCCCTTCTGAGCAAGCTTCCTGTTTCAGCACATCCTGCTAAGGCGACAACAGGTGATGGTGGATCACGGCTCTGAGTCCCTGCCACTCGGTGTGTAGGTGGCCCACATGGGATTCCTGGCTCCTGGCTGCTGGGGAACGAACCAGCAAATGGAAGGAACTCTGTTGCTTTCTTTGTATCTCTTTACATGAAAACGAAATAAACAGCAATGTGGAGCTTACATTGAACCAGATTGCCTGGCACATCTCAGCCAGTGCCCTGATGGGATTGCTGCCCGCTTAGCCCAAGTACTGAGAAACAGGGCTGCAGGCGTCGCAAGAGGCAGATGGCAGGTTCCCCACCCCACACCCCCCATTATCTTAGCTTTTGGAAAGGTTTGCGTTATAGCAAAGAGATCAAAGCTTTATAATTGCACATTCACTCAGGGACTTTCAAGTAGAATTTCCGTTTTATTTGCAATGGGATGCTGGCGACACCAGATGATGAACCTGTCTGTACCACTCGAAACTTTTTTGCACCAAAAGTACCTAGTTGGAAAGTACCTAGAACTACACCTGGCCTCAAAAGATGTATTTGAGATTTTTTTAATTAAAAAAAAAATCTGACCCCAGGTGAACTTGAAGTGATTTTTTTTTCTTCTATGCAGAAGACCTAACCAGTGGTTCCTACGATGACGTTCTAAATGCCAACCAACTTCAGAAACTGCTTTACCTGCTCGATTCCACCGATGACCCTTTCATTACGGAACGAGTTTTGGTCACCCTGGGTAACAGTGCAGCCTTCTCCGTGAACCAGGTAAGTACTCTTCGTCACAGCCAGCAAGCCCCTTCCATCCTTACAGGCTGGCAGCTGTCAGGACCCCGGGTAAGGTGCTCACCCTGCCCTCCCAGAGCCTCAGCGTGGCTTCTTACACCTCCCATAAAGTGTTCGTCGACTGAACGTGTGGCCTAATCATAATATGGTCCCTGTGAGTGTGGTCACGAGCAGTCACGTTCATGGCATTACGTTAGTGTGTGACCCTTAAAGTGACTGAGAATTCAGCTCTGTTTCAGGAAGCCGATAGAAGCATCTCTCCATTAAGCGTGTGCCTTCGCTTGTAGGTGGGTGTTACAGCTGTTGTTCTGAGGCAGGTGGTCCCTAGGACCCATGGATAGCCACTTCTTGGGGTCCATAGTTCCTATTAATAGAGGCTTTTTAACACCAGCACTGGAAGAGCTCAACCCGAATGCCTTGTTTTTTTTGCTCTCTTAGGCCATTATTCGTGAGTTGGGTGGTATCCCAATTGTTGGAAAGAAAATCAACAGTCCCAACCAGAGTATTAAAGAGAAAGCTTTAAATGCACTGAATAACCTGAGTGTGAATGTTGAAAATCAAATCAAGATAAAGGTAAGTGGCCTGAAGACCCCAATGCATGAGATTTCCCATAAATGGAAGCAAAAAAAAATAATAATAAGGTGAATGGTGAAAGTTGAAGAGACTGTGCTTTAGACATTTGTGGCAAGAGTTTGAGGCCTGCAGGGCAGGAGAAAAGGAACCATGTGACAGGTGATACACCAGACTTTAAACTTGAGGTTGTTTAGTTCAAGGCTGTTAAAGGAACCATAGAGAGTCAGGCAACAGCAGAAAGACACAGCTCATGAAAAAGTTATCTGGGGCCTGGCACAGTAGCCTAAGTGGCTAAAGTGCTTGCCTTGCATGCTCCGGGATCACATAGAGGTGCTGGTGTGTATCCCGGCTGCTCCTCCTCCCATCCAGCTCTCTGTTTGTGGCCTGGGAAAGCAGTGGAGGACGGCCCAAAGCCTTGGGCCCTGCACCTGCTTGGGAGACCCAGAAGAAGCTCCTGGCTCCTGGCTTCAGGATCAACTCAGCTCCGGCCATGGTGGCCGCTTGGGGCAAAAACCAGCAGGTGGAGGATCTTTCGGTGTCTCCTCTCTGAAAATCTGCCTTTTCCATAAAAAATAAAATGAATCTTTAAAAAAGAAAGGTATTTAGAATTGCACATTCGTTGGGCGTCTCCTCTGAGGTGGAGACGACAGACATGTGCGTTGTATAGAAAACCACGGGGGGGAGGAGTCAGGCCTGTGAACCAATCAGCGTAGAACATGATGAAGTGTAATACAGAAAAATGGCACGCTGTCCTTCCAGTGCACAGAAAGGAGCTTCTGTACGAGGCAGATTCTCATTTCCCCATTGAGAATGTCCGAGGGCGGGGCCAGCATGGTGCCTTAGCAGGTCAAAACCAACCCCTGTGAAGCCAGCATCCGCTGTGGGCACCGGTTCAAGTCCTGGATGCTCCACTTCACAGCCAGCCTGAGAAGACAGCAAAAGATGGCCTGCGTGCTTGAGCAAAAGATGGCCTGTGCACCTGCGTGGGAGACTGGAGACGAAACTCCTGACTCCTGGCTTCAGGCCATCTGTGGCGTAAACCATCAGATGGAAGATTCTGTCTCTATAATGCTGATTTTAAAATAAAAACAGGCATCTTTTTTTTTAAAAGGATTTATTATTTTTTTATTGGAAAGGCAGATATACAGAGAGGAGAGACAGAGGAAGATCTTCCGTCCGATGGTGAGTACAACGGCCGATGCTATGCCGATACGAAGCCAGGAGCCTCTCCCGGGTCTCCCACACGGGTGCAGGGTCCCAAAGCTTTGGGCCGTCCTCGACTGCTTTCCTGGGCCACAGGCAAGGAGCTGGAAGAGAAGCGGGGCCACCGGGATTAGAACCGGCGCCCATATGGGATCCCGGGCGTGCAACGCGAGGACTTTAACCACTGCGCCACCGCGCCAGGCCCAAAAACACGCATCTTAAGAAAAAAAAACCCTACAACTTTACTGGTTGCCTCCAGAAAATAGAAATTAAAAGAATAAGTGGTTTCTACAGACAGAGTTAGGAAAGGCAGTAATTCCAAACAAAAGGAAACAAGATGAGATGGACTCAGCTCCAAGAAGAACAAAACCTGCTGGTCTTCGCATTAGAGTTGAAGCAATGAAAGACTCAGAGATAATAAAAACATAAGTGTTCAAATCAAGAAATACTTTAAGAGGTATCAGATTCTTAAGCAAAAAAAAAATAAGATTTCTAAAGAGCTTAAGAAATATTTTTAAAAGAGTAGTGGTGGAATGATTTTGTGACCAAAGAGCTACTATATGTAATTTATTATTTTTGTAAAGGTTTATTTATTTGTATTTCAAAGGCAGATTTACAGAGAGGAGAGACAGAGAGATCTGTCCAATGATCCACTCCCCAAATGGCCACATCAGCCAATCCCAAGAATTACAACAGTTGAGACATGAACCTGTGCCCATATGAGATGTTGACACTGCAGGCAGAGGATTAGCTGGCTGTGCTCCCACAGGCCCCCATAATTTATTATGTTGAAAGGAGGTGGTTTTATTTATTTTTAATTTCTGTGTAATCCTAGGGGCAGATTTTCTGTCACCTGTTAGACCTAGTGCAAAGCCAAGGGCCTGAGACTCACCTGAGATCGCTCACATGCCCAGCGGGGACCCACGTACTTGAACCTGCCACCTCCCAGGGAGCATGTTAACAGGAAGCTGAAATGGGAAGTTAAACTAGAACTTGACTCCGGGCACTGCCCTGTTGTATGCAGATATCCCAACAGCTAGACACAATGCTGCTCCCTGTATGTATACCTGAAATCTGGAACCCACATTCAAATGTTAAACTTCCTCCGCTTTGCTGCCTGCCATTATTTAGTTTTTATATCCCGTGGAAAAACTGGAGAATCATTTTTTTTTTTACATGAATGATGTCTTATTGGGCAGTGATTTCCTACCATCAAATTAGGAAAATTGTCCAACGCGTCTGGTTTTGATAGAATTGACTAGGGTCCAGTGTGATGGTTCAGCTGGCTAACCCTCCACCTGCAAGTGCTGGCATCCTTTATGGGTGCCAGTTCGTGTCCCGGCTGCTCCACTTCCCATCCAGCTCCCCGCTTCTGGCCTGGGAAAGCCTTGGGCTCCTACACCTGCGTGGGAGGACCCACAGGGCATTCTGCTTCCTGGCTTCAGGTCGGCTCTGCTCCAGCCACTGAGGCTTGCTTGGGGAGTGAACTGGTGGATGGCAGATCTTTGTCTTTCCTCTCTATAAATCTGCCTTTCCAGTAAAAATATGTAAGTTTTTAAAAATTGACTAAAAAAAAAATCCTATTTCTCTTTGACCGCTCCCCCTCCCCCAATTGTGTTTTTAACATGTATTGATTTATTTGAAAAGGAGCACAAGTGGGGGGGGTGCTGGGGATGGGGACGAGGGGAGGCAGAGAGAGACAAAGATCTGCCATGCACTGGCTCGCTGCCCAGCTGAACACCTAGGGCTGGCCCAGGACAAAGCCAGAAGCTAGGAACTCCATCCATGTTTCCGTGAGGGCTTTTGCAAGGTGCATTAGCAGGATGCTGGATCAGAAGCTGAGCAGCCGGGACTCGAAGCAGCACTCCTCTGTGGGATCAGATGTCACCAGCAGTGTCTGTCAGGTGTCGGCCTGAGCCTCTGCACACCCTTACCGGCCCCTTGGGCGCCCCGCCACTCCCACCCCCTGTTTCCTTCTGAGAAGGTGTAGTTCAGTCCCTATTGATAAGGTACCTTACCAAAACTTCACATCTCCCTTCCTGGTCATGGCAAAACAAAAAAAGTTATCCTGAGCCGAGGGGTCTCCAACAAGGAAGGGTTGAAGCATGAGCCCTGGCCAATGGATGCTGCTTCCCCCACCTGCTGGCCGACCCAAAGCCGGGGACCCAAGTCCTTGCAAACTTTTAAGTCTTGTGGAGGACGGCCATGGCCGACACTCACCTCGTTGGAGTTGTCTTCAAGGGCGAAGGGAGGGTTGGCGGTGCAATGCGGAGGCCGGTGCCTGAGCCTTGACTGCCTCACTGTGTGGGGAGGTGACTGTCCCTGATTCCCGCTGGCTCACTCCTCCCCTCCTGCCTTCAGACGTACGTCCATCAAGTCTGCGAGGATGTCTTGTCTGGTCCCCTGAACTCCGCCGTGCAACTGGCCGGACTGAGACTGTTGACCAACATGACCGTTACCAACGATCACCAGCACCTGCTGGGTGGTTACATCACAGACCTGTTCCGCGTGCTCCTCGCCGGAAACGGAAACACCAAGGTAGGAAGCGATTGTTACTCCGGGTACCGAGAGCTGTTGCATCAACCTCCCCAGATTGAGGTTGACTTTCCTGTATGTTAGCTCCAAAAAATGATCAACACCCTCCCATGGGCCCAGGAAAGAATATTGTTTATCCTAAGATTGAATCGCACAATGAGTAAAAATCATCTGTAATTTCCCTAATCAATAGATGGATGTTGTTTGATTTTCTGAGGATTGGTAAAATCGAAAATCGCCTTGTTTTTGCTGAAGTGAGGTAGCTAACACATCCCCACCGCTCGAGCGTAGGAACCTCGTGGTGAGAAAGATCGAGTGACAATGGTGCATCACGTCAGGGCAAAAACATTTTCTGATTTGGCGGATCCTTGTTGACAAATCTTTCGGAAACCAGTTTGAAGCTGGAAGCAGAGAAGTGGCTCATGCGAAGGCTGTGGCAGTGGCTCAGGCTGGTCAGGGGCATGGCCCAGGAGGCCTCAGAGAGCAGCTGAATTAAGGGACGCCATTGGAGCATTCCCTAGCTCCGTCGCACCAGCAGGCATCCATTTCATTGCCTGCTTTTCAAGAAATAAAATGTAGGTTAATCAAAAGTCCTGGTAAACGGTGACTGTTTGTTCCTCGGGGTTTTGCCACGTTGCTTTGTGTTCTTTGAGTCCTTGTAGAGAAAAACGCGTGAGGATTTGGAAAGAGGCAAGTGCAGTGCCGGACCCTGACGGCTGGGGTCGCTGCATGTCTGGCTCAGCAGCTACCAAGATGTGATTAAGGGAGAGCTGTGCTAAACCAGCAGTGCTGGCTTCCCCGTGCCACACGGGGGTTGGCATGTGGGCTTGTGCCCAAAGGCACAGGGTGCCCCTGTTGGCAGCTCTCTTTCCAGCAGAGGATGGGCGTGAACCGCCTTTCCGTGTGGTGCTGCGGTGCCGGGATGAACCTCTCCTTAGCCTCTGTGCACTGCCTTCCCAGGCCACCAGGGGGCGCACTGCCAGGGCCAGGCGACTCTGGCCTCAGATCTGCTTATCCGCCTGCTTAAAAAGTGACTCCCACCGCAGTAATAATATGTTCTTTCTGTTTTGTTTTTCTGTTACATTGCCTGTGGTGATAGTGCTGCAATAGAAAAGCTGCTTTTTTGGGGGTTTTTTTGTTTGTTTTTTTGTCTGCTCGGAAACCTAATCACCAGTTGTAACACCAAATCTCAGTGCAGGTCTGCCGTGGAGGTGCCAGATGTCCTAGTGCTTGAAGCATGCCCGCTGCCTCCAGGGTTCCCATTAGCAACAAGCTGAGAGCCAGGCCCGGAACTCAGGCGCTTCGGTATGCTGTGTGGGCATCCCAAGAAACAGCCTTCCTTCTACACTACTCACTCGCTCCCTTCCTGTATTTTAATAACGTCTTGAACTAGACATATTATACAAATAATAGAAGAGATATGAATAGAGACGGTGCTTAGCAGTAAGAGTTAATAAATGTCCTGGAGTCACCACAAGATGGCGTACGTGAGGCAAGTGGATTACGGAAGGTTTCAAGCCCATGCGTGCATCGGATTTATAATTGTCTTCTACCTTTCCACACTGCCCTCCTTTCTATCAAGGATTATCCATCACTGTGTTGTACCAGATACGACTGTATACCTGCCCTCGTGACCACAAATGAGTCTGCCTAGGTTTACTGATTGGCTCCCCCAGGCTTAGCACGTAGGTTCAGGACCGCCTTCTCTGTGGATTCTTATTCCTATTTTCCTTAGTAAAACTTCACTGACCGTGGAGCCCAACATGTCTGCTGGGTGCCACTGACCCCCGCCTAGGCCAGAGGAGACCAAAGCGTGCGTGCACTGAAAAGGGGGCAGAAGCCTTCTCCCCCTTCACCTTGTGAGGGTGTAATTTATTCTCAGATTGTCTACTTAAAAACAGCGCGCTCTGCGCACCCACGCAGCCTTACCAGGAGTTAGCCCTGGGGCCGGCTAGGATGCTGGTATTCACTGGACTCTTGTTCCCTTCTTCCTGCAGTATTCAAAACCATGGCCATGTGTTAGCTTTCTAGAAATTCTGAAAAATTCATTAAGCAAAGCCTGGTATCTTTCTTTTATTTTTAATTTTTTTTTAATTTAAATTATTTGTTTTTGGAAAGGCATATTTACAGAGAGAAAGAAAGACAAATCTTCCATCTACTGGTTCACTGCCCAAATGGCCACAGCGGCCAGAGCTGAACTAATGGGAAGCCAGCAACTTCTTCCGGGTCTCCCACACAGGTGCAGGGTCCCCAGGCTTTGGACGATCTTCTTCTTTCCCAGGCCACAAGCAGGGAGCTGGATGGGAAGTGGATGGGATACCAGCACTTGCGGTCAGAGGATTAGCCGGTTGAGCCATCGTGCTAAAGAATAGGCCTTCCTACTGCCATTTTCCCATGAACATTGTAAAGTCTCCTCCTCTCGTATCCAGCGCACGGCTTTCCTGTGGCCTTTGCTTGTAAAAGGGGAATTCTACCAGCAAGTTCCTACTTTGCAGGACTAAGACAGCGCTGACATTTTGGCTGGTCAGTTACTCTGCAACATTACTTTGCTCATCACTGTGACGTCACTAAATGGTTGTAAACCATTTTTCACAACAATAAAAACTAACCTTCAAGATGCGTGGAAATCCACTGAAATGAAAAGGTCTATATTATTTTTGGTGTGGTAATGAAAATTCTTACATCTTCAGTAGAAATGAACGGAGATTCAGAATTTGTGTTTGGTGGTGGCTCTAAAGATCTTATTAAGCCATTATTATGTGTCAGGAAGTGTGAGAGTTGGGTTAGGAAGAAATTGTCAGTAGGAGGGGTCGCCATCAAGTTTACAAAGCATGAAGTTAAAAGATAAGTTTATCTTGGTGCCAAAGCACCATGGATGGATTTCAAAAGGGTCTTTTTGCCATCTTGTTTTTAAAAAAATTATCAGTCATTTTTAAGACTTATTTGAAAGGCAGAGTTAGAATTTTCCATGGACTGGCTTCCCTCCCCGAATGGTCACGGTGGCTAGGGCTGGGAGCAAGCGCTCAAGTCATCTTCTGCTGGATTTTTGAGCACATGAGCCAGGAGCGAGCCACCACCAGGACTCTGAACAGCGCTCCCATGGAATGCTAGCATCATGTGCCGCAGCTTCATGCGCTGTGCCACAGTGCTAGTACAGTATGCTAGAAAAATAAGGTTGAAACAAAGACAGCTCTACAATGAGAGCAGGGCTGAGTTATGAGTCCAGAGGGGAGGCACTTTATGTCGAAGGAATTGTGAAGCCTTCGGGGGAAAAGCGAGGGCGTGAGCCTGGTCTTGGGGCCTACTAGACGGGACTTGCCAGCTGAACACTGAGAGGGCCACCCGCTAGCAAGAGGGTGCGTGCCTGCTGGTCTGAAATAAACCAACATTCTTATTTCAGGTTCAAGTGCTGAAACTGATCGTGAATCTGTCTGAAAACCCAGCTATGACTGAAGGACTTCTCGGTGCCCAAGTAAATACCCCACACGCTTTTGTTCAAGATGTATCTGTTGTTGTTTTAAAGATTTTTTTTTTTTTATTGAGTTACAGAGGGAGGGCGGGAGGGAGGGACAGACTGAACGAGGTCTTCCATCCACTGGCTCATGCCCGAAACAGCAAGGACTGGGACCTGGCCTGGGAGTAAAGCAACTGGGTGCTCCAGTATGATTGCCAGTGCTCCCAGCTTGCACCTACATGTGGACGCACATGCATGGATTTGGACCGATAGATCCAGGAAAAGACTTACCCCAAAATCACAAGAGGATTTCCGAGAACAATCTAACAGGTGGTTTTCATAGACAGATCTCCTACATTTTCTGCAAGTGTATTTTAAAATTCTCCCTAGTAATCATAAAACCATTTTTTTATTTTTCATCCTCGCCCAGTGTTGGGTATGCCGCTCTTCCACGTGGCCTGTTTGTAAGGACACAGGTACTGAAGCGCAGTAGCTGCTCTCTGCGGGCCACCCCGCTGAGCCGCTGGTGCCCTGTCCCTCGGATCTTCCCGTCCCGCGGAAAGACCAGGATGCAGTACAAGCAGACAGGAGCAGTAAGAGCCGTGGCAGTGCTCCTCGGAAGGATGCCAAGCCAGAGCTCAGCTGCCCACCAGGGCCTGAGGCTCCATGGTCCCCATGTGCTTTCCTTTCACCCCAGCCTGGGGCCCTGCAGCACATCTGTGCTGTAAATATTGGATGGATTGAGGATTTCTCATAAAATATTAAAAGTATAAATATAGCACGGGCAAAACGAAGAGAGGATTTTTTTTCCAAATGACTACATCCTGGGATTCCTAGTGAACTGACTGAGCTAAAACAAAACAAAACCCTCATTGTCCAAGAGTGTACGCGACATAGAGAGGGGTGCGTGAGATTTTTTTACACATGACACTTACACAGTATGAAGAGCTTATATTCCAGTGGGGCTTTTGCAATGTGACATGGTCCCTGCAGCATGGCTGTGTGCAAACCACCCTCACTGTCTCCTGTTGCAGGTGGACTCGGCGTTCCTGGCCCTCTTCGACAGTCACGTGGCCGCCGAGATCCTTCTCCGGGCGCTCACGCTGTTCCAGAACATAAATAACTGTGTCAAAGCAGAGGGCCGCCAGGCGGCGCAGCCCTCCTTCCCGCAGGGCTCCTTGTTCTCCCTGTTGTACGGAGAAGAATGCGTCCAGAAAATGAGAGCTTTGGGGTCTCACCACGACGCCGACGTGAAAGAGAAGGCCGCGGCAATAACTCCAGCCTTCTGATGGCCTGGGCCTGCGTTCCTCCCTGCAGCAGCACACTCTGGAAGCTTCCTTCCCATTTGCCTAACGCATCCCTCAGCTGCCGAACTTCTACAGTAAACATCCCATTTCGTCATTCACGCACTGCAGCTCAAGCATTTCTCATCGATCATGTTCAAAAGAAAAGGCAAAATTCAGATTCCGGAGTGTGTGAGTGTTCCCATGAAGCTTACATATTTAATAATCAGAAACACACACACACACACTCGGGTCACAAGTAGCTTGGAGAAGCGATCTTCCACCTGTATGTGGCCGCCATCTTCGAGTTTATTTCAGATCATTTTACTGATGCCCGTTGACTAAGAGAGCTTGCATGAGTCCCGTTAGTTTTTCTTTTGCTTCGTAGTTAAGAGATGCTGATTTCCCCTACAGGAAGGGGCCGTGTCCCTTCTGTGTGGGAAGTGCCCTTCAGCGTGGAGTGGTCTGTCGTCGTCCTCCCTCCGGGAGCACTTAGCCTGGGACTAACACGGCTTTATGAGATCCTGAGGAACCCAGCCACGCTGCTTTTAAAACGTCTGTTCCCATCATGCAAACGTGCGAACACAATGAAAGCATCAAGGAAAACACGAGAGTCGTGTTACCTGGGCACTCACCCCGCCCATGCAGTGTGTCCGTATGTCATGATGTCACATACGAGATACTGGGACTTAGCCAAATGTCCACTCATCCTCGATGGGCCAAGTCAATATCCCAGTTTTTCAAAAGATGGACAGGTCTGCTGACATGCTGCGGAAGACACCCATGAAGTGTGCTGGATTTTAAAGACATGCTGTGGATGATGTGTAGAATCCAACTGTGTTTTGTTTTTTTTTTTTTAAATAAGTATATTCCTGGGGCTGGCATTCTGGCACAATGAGTAAAGCCGTCTGCTTCAATGCCAGCTTCCCATATGGCACCAGTTCACATCCTAGTTACTCCACTTCCATTCCAGGTCCTTGCTAAAGGCCTTGGAAAAGCAACAGAAGGTGACCCATAATATTTAGGCCTCTACCACCCACATGGGAAAACTGAATGAAGCTCCTGGCTTTAGCCTTGCTCACCCCTGGTCACTGGGCCGCAGGGGAGAGGGAACCAGCAGATGGAAGACCAATCTTTCTCTCCCTCTGATTATTTCAACTAAATAAATATATTTTAAAATGTGCTTACAGGAGCAAAATATTTCAAACTCCTGGGAATGAAAACTGGAACATGGCCTGCATTTTTTTTTTAACTCAGCATAAATTGTGTAATTTTTTTTTAATAAAGAGGCAAAAAAAAACAAAGCTTATGCATGTTCTCCCCTTAATTTTGATGCTTTATTTTCATCCATATAATAAAATTTCTCAGCTGTTCTCTTTTGATATATCACCTTTATTCCATAAGCTACCGTAACAATTGGATGTATTTGATTTCAGCCAAGATTTATGTAAGATTCAAGTTCATGACCCTCATTATGCTTGGCAAGAAGTAAAACACGATGCAGCCCACACACATCCAGAGCTTCTCAGTGCTTCCAGATTCTGTGTAAACGTGGACACGTGCTTGTTTCCACACAAGGTTACAAATTCTCACACACCCAGTGGACCAGAGTGAAAATGTCATATGGCTACTAAGAATACTAGTTTAAAACATTAGGTGACACAAATCTAAGTATTTCCTGAAAGGCACATTTATTTCTTTACTCAGAAGTATGTGTTCACAATATACACATATTTAAAAACCCACGTGTTTTAGCAACACTGGATTCTAAAATTCTGTCCCTTCTCCTTTACTGTCCGTTTGATAATCACACTTTCTGGAGTTCTCAGTATTGGATCTGAAGTGTAGAAAATGCTAGATGACTAAGGGAGTGATATTTTGCGAGCCAGGAGGAATGGTCCGTGGAAAGCGCACAGACAGATCTCGTAGGTCCCAGCACCTTGGCGTTCTTCGCCATGATGCTGCCTGATGGGCATGTCCTGTGAGGCAGGAGAGCAAATGAGAGGGTCCCTCGGCACAGGAAACTTCGATATTGGCTTAAACATGACTGCAGCTCCTAACCAAAGTGGACAATGAAATTGACTTTCAAAGATAAAAATGTGGACTAGGCCACAATTCAGGGAAAAGAACAGATCTGTGGGTTTTTTGGTTTTTGTTTATTCTGCACATGAACCCTTCAGACGGTCGGCAGGAGAACAAGTGAAGCCACTCAGCGGGGATGCTCGCTCAGTGGGAGAGATGAGGTCAGCTGTATTCCCTAGTGAACCAAATGTCTATGTGCAGAGAGGAAGTGAAGGGCAACCAAAGGGTTTGTGAGGAAGCCCAGAAAAATAAGGCAGGGCCCCAGCACAGTAGCCTAGCAGCTAAAGTCCTCGCCTTGCACACACTGCCAGGATCCCATATGGGTGCTAGTTCATATCCTGGCAGCCCCACTTCCCATCCAGCTCCCTGCTTGTGTCCTGGGAAAGCAGTGGAGGATGGCCCAAAGCCTTTGGACCCGAGACCCAGAAGAGGCTCCAGGCTACTGGCTTCGGGTCAGAGCCCAATTCTGGCCATTGCGGTCACTTGGGGAGTGAATCAGTGGAAGGAAGATCTTCCTCTGTATATATGACTTTCCAATAAAAATAAATAAATCTTTAAGAAGAAAAATGAGGCAAGCCAGCTAGGTGGCTCTGGAACACAGTGCCTAGAAACCCTGAGACGTGAGAATACAAAATCAATGCCAATGGGCCCGGCGCGGTGGCGCAAGTGGTTAAAGGTCCTCGCCTTGCACGCCCTGGATCCCATATGGGCGCCGGTTCTAATCCCGGCAGCCCCGCTTCCCAGCCAGCTCCCTGCCTGTGGCCCGGGAAAGCAGTCGAGGACGGCCCAAAGCTTTGGGACCCTGCACCCGCGTGGGAGACCCTGAAGAGGCTCCTGGCTTCGGATCAGCATAGTATCGGCCTGTTGCGCTCACTTGGGGAGTGAATCATCGGACAGAAGATCTTCCTCTCTGTCTCTCCTCTCTGTATATCCGCCTTTCCAATGAAAAAATAATAAAAATAAATCTTTAAAAAAAAAAAAATCAATGCCAAGGCCATTCACAGAGAAGGAATGCTTTAGCCAGATATGCTTGGCTCGCACCTGTCAGCAGAGGTCAGGTCAATTTTCAGTTGCGGGTGCAGTACGGATGACTACGATGAAGCTGGCCAGCCTGCGGGCAGTACACCCCAGAGCTGACCACCCGATTCACCTCTACTTAAGCACCTGTGCTAATTCAGTTGTTTCCTAAAGGTTTTATTTTTATGGAGAAATCTTTCATGCTTTAGTGCCCACAGATCACACACACCCACGTGTATCACATACGCATACACGCCGCGTACATATTTCCCCCCTTGAATGAGTCAAAGCTTTGTAGAGAAAAGATAGTTAATTTTGATAAAGACCATTCACCTTTACTTTGGCTATTCCTCTCTAAGGCTACGAAATGAGTGAGGCGAGGCTGTCAGTCTTCAACGTTGAATTTGCTATGCGAGTGCTTATATCAGTAAGCGTGCCTCGTATCTCCCTAGGACACCTGCATGTCCTACATATTTGCTTCTATCAGCAAAACGTGAACAGACTATCAAAAGCAGGAGCCTATTTTTAACTTTCAAATAGACTTCTCAGTAAATTAGGAAGTGAAATCTTAAGAGATGACTTTCTCCCTTATGTTTCTAAAGTGCCTTATAAAAACCACATTTAATCTGCACATTTTTGGAGGTAGGTCGACCGTGAGGAAACAGAGGCACGGCGGGCGCAGGTGACTCGTCTGGGTTTACACGGGAAAGCTGTGATGAAGCAGGACTACCTTTTTTTCCCCTTGCTAACAAGGGGCATGCAAGCCAAGTTACAAAGCTCCGTCTCAGTAGCACCGAAAGTACAAAACATACCTGCATTATTTTGTGCGACTCAAATTAACCACGCTGAGTCAGTGGATCAGGTCGGACCTCCAACGGTCTGGAATGCAGTCCCCTCCCTTGGGAAGGCTCTGAGGAGTCAAGAGCTTTCGGTTAGGACCAAGATGTGGGTCCGACTGGATCCCAGATTCACCATCGTCTTACCACCACCGGTGGTATCCCACACTGGCTTAACAGAAGCTACAATCACGTGTGGCGGTCATTTACCATAAAAACAGGACGTGTGACTCACAGGGAACAAAATATAAGATGGGTCTCATTGATCTATTTGGAGTTAAAGAGACCAGCAAAGGCAAATGTATGGAGAGAAAGTATTATTTAATTGAAAGGGTTTGGTCTAGTAATATTTAAATCTGCATTTATAAAAGATTGCATTGTGGCTGTATTTGTGCCTAGCAGAAGACCTTTTAGATTAGAAATAGCAAATATCTTAAGTTATATCCTTGTAGTCACATCGTTTCCCTTCCTCTACCCCAGTCAGAGGATTTGGGGTGTAGGCATTGTAGACATGCACTAGAATATTACTCCTTCCCCTTTCTAAGGGTGTGGTGGTCATGGCTTCACAATATGGTGAGTTTGCTGCACGCCCAGGAACGGTGTCCCCAGCCATGGTTACTGTGTCAAAGGGTGCGAGACACAGAGGAGTTCAGCATAACAAAAACGTTGTCTTTAAAGATGGGAGATTTTATGCGTAGCAAAATAAATCAATATTTGGCAAATAAGCTAATCTAGGTAGAGCAAACTCAGCTATGTTTACAAGTAGGTGCGAGTCAATTTTATCATTTACTACAATGTAAATATAAGCAGCATAGTTGGGGGCCGGGAGAGGACTCAACCAGCTAATCTTTCACCTCCAAGCGCCAACATCCCACACGGCTGCCAATTCTTGTCCCAGTTGTTCCACTTCCCATCCAGCTCCCTGCTTGTGGCCTGGGAAAGCAGTGAAAGACAGCCCAAAGCCTTGGGACCTTGCACTCAACATGGGAGAGGCTTCGGATTGGCCCGCGGCCATTTGGGGAGTGAACCAACAGATGGAGGATCTTTCTCCATCTCTCCTTATCTCTGTGTCTCCTTCTGTCTATAAATCTGCCTTTCCAGTAAAAATAAATAAATCTTTACAAAAATATAGAAATATATATATGTGCAGGTGTAGGCCTCTGAACAATCTAGAGTGGCAGCCAGCCTTGATTCATCTTATCACAGGCCCTGACATTTTTTCTTTAAAAATTGAGTCTCATCAGTTTTTTGTAACCTAAGAAACTTTAAACTCATTAGTCAATTCATCATTTAAATGCCCTGCCCTGAGGTCTTCGTTTTTAATTTCATCTATGAACTGGTCATCGTATGAGTAAGTAAGTTATCAGACATGAAACACAAACTCGCAGAAGCTATAGCTAAAAACAGGCATAATATTCATAACTTCGTAGTCTTTCCTTTGTCTTTCACACTTGTATCAGATGATGTCTTTTTTTTTTTTTTTCTTTAAAAAAGCTCCTCTGTTTATAGTTACTCAGTTTTCTTCCTTGGTATTTAAGTATCTTGATTCTCCATGCTTTAAGACAAAAAAATCTTCTTGCTTCAGTCCATGTGTTTTTAGAGCTTCGCCCAGCTTCACTGGCGGTTCCAGGTAATGCTGAAAAACGGCACAGAGAAGAAAAGCAATAGTGACAATACTTAATATGGGGGCTATTTCAGAAAAGAATTAAGACTAAAATAAGCAACGGATGTCTACATGGAACAATGTCCTTCTAAAGGAAGCACTAGCAAATGACTTCAGCGTATTTTGTGATTTGATGGAAACTTTGGTCCTTAGAGGAGATAAAAAAAAAATGTCCCCTAGCCGTGGGACAAGACAGCTATGTAGACGGGAGACGAGAGCTCAGCAAGCGAAAGAGTCACCCACACTGCATTCACGAAGGGTCAGGCAAGCAGCTTCTTTCACGGGGGTCACTATTTTTATTCCCTGCTATAGCACAATTCGTTCAGATAAAAGAGAGACCCAGGTCATTTCATGTACGCATTAACGCGTGAAGCTTGTGTTGGTGCCTGGGACGCCAGCATCTGGGGCTACGCCCAGCTGGTCTGCTTATGAGCCGGCTCCCTGCGAATGTGCCTGCAAAGCAGCAGCCCATGTGGCCACTCTGGGAAGCGAACCAACAGACGGACGACTGACTGCTCTGTTTATACCTCTTTGTCACTCCGCTTTTCAAATAGAGAAAAATAAATAGCTTTAAAAAAAAAAGTTACGATACTTGAAATTGATTTTTGTCAGAACCAGGGACTGAAAAGTCTGGTGCTTAAGTATGTCATCCAGGGTCTCTACTCATCCTTTACCTGAGCAGTGGGAACATACTTCAGGATGGCCAGACTAGGTCTTATTCTGCCTCGCCTACAGTGAGCAGCGATTCTAACTGTTTATATGCAAATGGTTTGAAAGTGTTTAGAAATCATAGCCTGGAGCACCCACTTTGAAAATCCCTTCTGCTTCACAGTCAACAATTGTTCAACTAAGGTCAAATGTTAAAAAGTCCAAATTGCTAAAGGCCCAAAGAGGTTTTATTACAGGTCTCAGCAGGAAATCCACTGGAATTAAATTATTGGAAACCAGAGTAATTCTTGAAGCTTTTCCTCTTTATCATCACAAGCTAAAAACCTAGAAGTCAACCTTGATGCCTTTTCTTGACATAGCTCAAATAAAACACTGCGACTTCATCCAACACTGACACATGCAGAATACGTATATGGAAATGGAACAGTCACACACACAGAAAAGGAAGGAGGAATTACCACCCAATTCGGAAAAGCAGTCTCAGATCTCCCCCTGTTGTGTTCACATACACACATACATTAATATTCTCCTTCCTCCGTCACTCACCACGGTTATTCATTCCTTCCTTCACTTGCTCGCTCATTAGTCCATCCCATCCTCTCGCAACAGAACTAAGAATTGCAACAACCTGGTCCCGAGATGGGAAACGGGCAGATAGTATCTACAGTCATTTTGAAATAAGTTCCATCTTCCTTAGCGGAGAGCACAGGAGACAGACAGGAAATGCCTCAAATACCAAGAAAATGCTAGGTTCTTGGAAAGAGGCCCCAGAATATGCAAGACGCCACAGGGCCAAGTAAGAGAAGCCACATTCCAACCAGGTCTTTCAAAATTGTGCTTGTGGCTGGCCCTGGTTCCAGGAAAGGAAGGGTGATACGTGATCCCAGAACCCAGGCTAGCCGCAGAGCGCTGGGCTTCGGTTCCCTTAGGGAAAAAAACAAATCAACAATTCTGCTTTAATTTAGGACTGGAGTCACACAAATCTCAACGTCTGGTCCACAGCAGACATGGAACAGTTGTTTACTGGGTGGAGAACACATTCCTAGACAGTCCTACGCTGCCCGGCCTCCCTTCTCCATGGCCTCCGTGTCTTCCATCCTCCCGCTGAGCGTCCCTCCCGACTCCCCCCCACACCAACTTGGGCTCTGCCCTTCCCCATCTGGCAGTGCCTTCCTCCTGGCCGCAGCAAAACCAGATGCAGGTGGCACTCTTCATGTTGAAGCCCTCTCTGGTCCCTCCCAGGGCAACCAAGACCCCATCATCTTCCAACACCTAGATCATATGCCCATCTCCCACCTCCTACCAGGACAAAAGCCTCCTTGCAGGGTAGGGGGAAATATGATGGCTCATTGTCCTCATCCCTAATACGCACAGATTTTTGCTGTTGTTGTTGTTGCTGCTGTTTTGGAGACTCACGCTTTGTTAACTACAAAGAAATCAACCTAAGAAAGAAAAAGGCTTTTTCCACTGCGCATAAATAGATCATGACCGGTCAGTATGCAGGGCCACCCTAATTCTGCAGGGCCTGTGATGACAGAGTCTAGTTCCACAGCATGGCTTCTGAAGACCCAGCTGGGTCAAGAGGGACCCCTGAGCCCCACCAAGCTCTTTGTGGCTCGTGCACAGAACCCAAGTCCTGCTTCCCCCGAGAGCAGACTCACCTCGTTTGCTAAAGCGAAGGTTCCCCAGTGAATGGCCACGGATTTCTTGCTTTGCACATCGATGTGGATCTGCACTGCTTCTTCGGGGTCTACGTGCTGATATTTCAGAAACCACCTGATGGGACACAGCCACTCATTAATGCTGCCCTTGGGGAAGTGTGTTCTAATGACTGCTTCCTGCAGTCGGCATTTTTCAAGAGTTTGGGGTGCTTACTGGCTGTTCCCTCCCCCTGTACCATTCTTGGATTCTGAATGTGCATGCCAGCACACAGCAACGAGGCCTTCAACACTTCCCAGCTGCTGAACTCAGCTGGCACATGTTTCAGAAAGGCCTGCGACCCGACCTACGCTCTCCATGGGTCTGTTCTCATCTCTCTGGGGGTGGGGACCTGGACCCTGGAATTTTTCAAAGTACCACCTGCCCCAGGTGAATCCAGTGTGTAGCCACAGAACCTTTGGGACAGAGCACGTGAAATGTGGGGTGGGAATGTGGGGGAGTGAAGCTAGAAACCAAGACGACACAAAACAGACAAAAAGACAGCAAACAGGAAAAGTCACGACAGCTATAAAAGAATCTTCCTTTAGTCCACCCTCCTACTCAAGAACAATGACAAAAAAAACAAGTTTTTTTTTTTTAATACATCCTATGTTATTTCATAGTCTTCCGGATATATCTTTGCACACATTTTACTAGGTTTTGAGCTGTAATATTTCTCAGGGACACTGTAAATGCTGAGGTGGTTTTCCCTCCTCATTAGGTTACTTTACATGTATATAACAAACGTCACGTGCAAGTCTTTCTTATGCAATAAAAAGCCTCCAGCCGAACTCCCCTCACAACAGTTCAGCTGTGTCATGTGTATTTTGATTTCACAGATAGATTCTGAAAAGATGAAGAGGATGGCTTTAAAGCAGAGAGTTTCTGATCCTGCCCATGACTCCCTGACTACAAGATTCTAAAGGAGTCCACTCCTCGTCTTGCGTTGAGACTTCACCCTACTACCCAGAAGGCTAAGCTAAGGGAAGGGAGGGTAAGCTGACATCCTGCGGTAAGGACAAGAATGGCAACCCAGGCCGCCTGCGAGTGCCCTTCGGATGGGTGTGGCGCTGCAGTGTCCACCGCCAGCCACTAGGACAGACATTACTGTGGCAAATGTTGTCTGACTTACTGCCTCAACAAACCAAAAGATAAGGGTACATGACGAGCTAATCAAAGATACCACGAACAACAAACGTTATGGTGGACTGGCTACATGTAGTCTTGTCCCCGTTTGCCACAGTTTTCACTTTAAGTATTTAAACATTTTAACAACTACGTGACCCACCCAACCCCCAGTGGGCATAGCCACTAAGCCACCAATAAGGCAGCAACACAAAATCTTAATTACTGTACTGAGCATCATCCGCCATCTTACGCAAGCTGGGACTTCGTCCTCCACAAGCCCACATACCTTGGCTCGTAAGCTCCGATGGGAATAGCTGCCAAGTCAAATGGCCCAAATCTTTTTCCTATCTCTTTAAAGACGGAGCAGTAGCCAGTATCTCCTGCAAAAAAAAATCGGTTCCAAGGCCCCAGAACGGACCAGCTGCCCCAGAGCACCTTGTTGTCATCCAGGAGGGTTCTTTTGCACCAGTGCTGGGCAGGGGTGAAGACGAAGGTGATCTCGTCATGACCCGGAACACAGTTCTCTTCCCACCAGTCCAACTCGATCACGTTCTCGCAGCCGCATTTCTGCATCCAGTCGAGGAGACCCAGGGGCACAAACCACCTCAGCTCGTTCCCGAATCGCTCGTTGAGGGCGGCGACAGAACCGTAGTCCAAATGGTCGTAGTGGTTGTGACTGATGAGCACAGCATCGATGGGGGGCAGTTGACCGATGGTGCACGGGGGATGACGGAATCTCTTGGGTCCCAAGTACTGCGATGGGGAGGCCCGGGAGCTGAAGATGGGATCTGTAAGAAATACCAGCTCATCCATCTCCACCAGCACCGTGGCGTGTCCCAGCCATGTGACCCGCACACCGGCTTCCCTTGTTCCAGCTGCTCCAGGGTCCTCAACAAAATAGGGTGTAAGCACTGGGAGTTCTTTGTCAAGCTCCTGTGTCCGCAAAAAAAAAAAAAAAGAGATACACAGCCGTGAGGGGAAAAATAAAAATATTTAAAGAAAAAAGTTGTTTTCATTATAGAACACAGCTTGACCTCCATTATGGCAGCAAGGTTGGGCTATTTAGGGAGAGGTGACGTCATCCCATAAACTAGCTGTTTGTGCTTTTCTCCTGAAAATGCATACTTCTTAGTCTAAAAGGCACTAAACAAAGGAAAAGTAAATTGCAAATTCTCACTGCTGCTGAGCTCACTTTTTCTTTTTAAAAGACTCTTATATCGTGCCAGTAGTTAGCCAGCTTCGGTGCAATTATTTGACTACCGTCACCTCATACAGCTAGGGCTATTTTCTCCTAAAAAGAAAAAATAAAAACAAAAACCTCAGCCACCAAAGCAATACCAGGTTTTCAACTTCATATCCTTTCGAGAAAAATGGACAAATGCACCAAAACAGAAGATCTTACATCAACAGCAACATGAACAACTCAGTCCACTCCCTCCTGCCCCTCCTGCTACAGCCCAAACCCTCGGGGTGTCTCTCCTTTCCGCATACTTTCTCCCCATCGCAATTAGATCCCTAATCTCTCAATTTCCCTCACACCCTGGGGCAAGACAGGCTAGGGAGGAGAGGAGCAGGGGAGAGGAGGCCGTGGGAGAAACTTGGAACGCAGAAAAAAAAATGCTGCGAATAGGAGTCACCTTCCCACACACCCCTGCCTCAACGCAGCATCATTCATCTCATCAGCTTTACGTCCAACGTGGTAAGTTAGACCCAAGGTGAACAAAGGCCATCTTGAAACATCTGGGAAGCTCCTGTGAGGATGCCGTTCACAGCTCTGGCACTAGCTTTTTCCCACTCCAAGGACCAAAAGCCAGACACACCCAGCCTGTTACCGTTTCTGATTCATCTCCCACACCTGCATCAGGTTATCTCTGTGTGGAACACGCTACATCCTCGTTCCCTTTCGTGTCCGTGTTCACGCCATCACCTACGTGCGCCAACACCGCTGTGCCTGCTAAGCCTGGACTCACGTCTCCCCTGCTGTGTGGAACCATCTCCGACTCTACCAGCAGCACGAGTCACTGCCTCCCCTGTCCCTCCGAAGGACGGGGTGCCTACCTCCAGCTGCCAATGGGTCAGAGTGGGTTAATTATACCATCTTAGCTATGAACCCAAGGAGATGGACTATCCCTCTTCACTTGAGCACCAACCCCCCCCCTCCCCCGCCAGGAACCCTGATCTGAGTCTAATCAAAGGACTGGGCTCGACTGATTTGAAGCAAAACTAGTTCCTCTGCATGGTAAGCAATCCAAAGAACCCAGCACTAACCTCCTTGGAACAGGGAATGCCGCTGTGGTCTCTCTCCATCATAAGCCACCGGAGGGCACTGGAAAAGGAGGGGGTTTTCCACGTGGGCCAAGGGTTCACAAATCTCCCATCTTTTCCTCTCACCGACTTGGTTACATCTTCCTCCAGCCTGTAATCCAGCTTGAAGCTTCTCCTGGAAAGCCTAGAAGAATCGCTCCCTCCAGAATGCCGTGCCGAATTCTGCCGTTTTCTTACTGTTTCCTTAGGATATTGGCTGCCTGGCACCAAGGACTGGCTGTTCTCGTCTTCGTCCCTGTCCATTGGTGAAGAACTTACAAAAAAAAAAAAAAAATAGGAGGAATAAATTACTGAGTTTAATCTAAACACATTCAAACATACTCACAGACATACCATTGTCACTTAAATAAAAATTTCCCTGAACTAAAAAAAAAAAAAAATCATATCTCTATGAATTCAGTCTCTCTTCCTGGAAAATAAAAGTTTAGAATCCTATGTTACTGTGTACTTCCTAGAAAAGATGTTTGCTTCGCCTATTAGCACAATAGCCAGTTCTTACAAATAAATAAATAAGTAAAAATAAAACTCCCTACTCTGCTCTCATCCACAGCAGTTTTCCTAGCCAGTTAAATGCTAGGTAAATGTTACATTGCAGAGACATCCTGCAGAATAAAGCACGCGCCTGAATTACAGTCGTTTCAACATGCTGAAAATATAATTGTTCACAACACAAAGTAAACCCCTTTTAGTTCCCTGAGGGTACTAAATCACTCAAGTGACTCACATAGAACCCCACCAGGCCTACACTGAGGGTAATCTGTTGCCAATGTACTTTCCCTAAGGAGAAAAGTGCAGTAAATCAAATGGCAGGGAAGGAGACAGCCCTTCAGTTCAGTGACATCTCCATCATGTACACAGCTGGTAAACAACACAAATCTCGTTTAGAACCGCTGGCTCAGCGCAAGGCTTTCCCTAGCTCTGTGACCTCAGGCAGGTTTCACACCTCCTCCCACACCCCCATGCCTCTGCGTAGATTGCCTCATCAATAAACTGAAGGTAACATTGTTTCCTGGTCCCTGGATTTGCTGCAAAGGGAGCACTTGGAATCCCAACACACAGGAGGACAGCTCAGGCACTGCTGGCTGTTTCGGCTGACCCGACGGCTCCTGCGTCCACTGTCCGTGCTACTGCTCCACTCAAAAGCCCTGAACTCCCTGATGATAAACCAAAGAGGATTCCAGGCACATGAAAGTGATCATGTATGGGGAGTGTGGATTCCTCGGCCATGAATTCCATTGCTTTCCTAATCCATTAAACAAACATCGGCCTTCCTGTTCACTGGTTTTAAGGATAAGGCCTACAGGTAATGTAATTTATAATCTGAAGGAAATAAGCACACGAACAGAGAGCCAAGTATCATTTGTGTGGCTAGAAGTGTGTTTAAGCAGAAACTCTAGGCGGTGCTGGAGGCAGAACTGACCCAGCGATTGCAACCACCAGCATATGCAATAGGCTGATTCGGGTGATGACTGTGCCGGACCCTGTACTGGCATGCACACACAAGAATCTGGTCTGGGATCACTTCAAACAAAGTTCCTTTGAGGGTCCCCCCAATCAAACCGCTGAACTCAGAACCCCAACTAGGAAGAGAAGTGCAGGTTCCATGGTCTGACCATGGAGTCTATGTGTCAAAGCGGAGCCTCCTCAGTGGCACAGACAGAACAGTGGACAACACATCCAGGTGCACATGGAGGATATGGCAGCCCATTCGGAACCTACAGAGGACACCTGGTACCAAAACAGAGGACAGAACAAATCAACTACCCCAGCCAAGTGTTGGACGTGAAAGTCTGTCCAAGTGGAGATGCTAAGGTGGATACTGGAGAGATTTCATTGTGCTTGGAATGGTGAGATCGGCAGCAATTCAGAACAGTTGAACTATTGAAACCACTTGAGCAGTGCCCTCGGAGCATGCCTCACATCCAGGACCCCGGAATGGGTGGGAGGGTGTGTGTGACTTTTCCCTTTGTCTCTCCCTTCCCCCAGATACAAGAAGAAAAAACAGAGAATGTGGAAACAATGGTCTTACCCACTTCCCTGTAACCCTAGACCCTTTGAGCCCTAATCAACTATGTAAAGATCACGAAAATTTAAATTAAAAAAAAAAAAAAGAAAGAAGAAGAAGAAAAGAAAAAACAAACAAATAAATAGAAACCCTAGGGCAGTGACCTAGAAACTAAAGTCTTTTGTGCCGGGATCCCATATAGGCACAATTTGTATCCTGGCTGCTCCACTTCCTTTCCAGCTCCCTGCTTGTGATCTGGGAAAGCAGTCAAGGACAGCCTAAAGCCTTGGAACCTCCTATTTGCATGGACACTCAAGCATCCCACTAAGAATTCTGTAATCTATTGAGGCGTTGTTGTGTGCCCCTGTGAGATGGTTTTTGCAACCGATGTGAGCTTGAGAGTTAATGTCACTGATAATGTCTTGGTGAGTGGGCCTTTGACAGTTTACACAAAGGACCACAATTAAGCCGGTGCCATTTCTGGACTCCTTATTGGGTACTTAACCATTGCCTCAGAATCTGGCCCAGACATGTAGCACACCTTCTGGGAAAGGGCTTGATAAATATTCTAAATATTATTGCAAGTGATGGGAGTGAGAGCTGAAACTGCTATGGCAATAAATATAGTTATTGTTATCTCAAAAGCTATAGTTTGTCTTTGCAGTTTCTTTGGAGCATAGAAAATTTAGTTGTTTTAACCACTTTTATAATTTTTTAACTAGAGGAATTATAGGGTGATTATATTAACATCATAGAGATGCACTTTTGATTATTGTTTGACTGCTTATGAGGTTGTAGAGCCTGCAGTTGGAGGGGGATTTAATGTTTGAAACTTTTTGTCTTAGATCTTTATGTTTTTTTCTCTTTTGATGTATTTCTCCCGTTAAGTGACAAATTAACTGATTAGAAGGCAACCATCTGTGCCTTGGCCTTGGAGTCCTGGCTGTCACCTAATGATACTTCTGAAGAATGAATAACGACTTGCTTTAAAAAAACTGATTATAGTAACTTACAGAATTATCTTTGAGAGCACCTGGTTGAAATAAAAATGAATTGAACATCTGTGCATGTGGGCTTAGTTCTAAAGTTAAAGATAAAAAAAAAATCAAACGGTTGTGCAGAGGCTTGTGGTGTATCTAAGTAAATAAAAAGGGCAGCTCCTTCTTGAGCTGCAGCAAGAAGGCAGCAGGTGACAGTGTCTGTGTCTTTGTCGCCGACTCCACGCACCCTCTTCAAGCTCTGAACTCAGCTGGAGCTGGACTCCGGCACTGTCTTCTACTTTATAATTCATTAGGCTCCTGCTTAAAAGTAGAACTCAACAAACAGCAACAGAGAAACAGTCTTCAAAGCTTCTCTAGGGGGCGGGGGGAGAGGGAGAACGACAAAATGTGAGAAGCAAAAAAAATTAATTGTACACTTTCTTCTGCCTTCAATTCTAGCTCCAACTTGTAGTGAATTCCGTGTCCTTTAAGAAGTCGCCTAAGCCTGCGGAGACTGAATTTCACACCCCTGTAAAGTGAGAGGGCTGGGATGCATCTCTAAGTTCCTACCACCTGTTACATTTTAACAACTTGTGGCTGACCCAGGAACTCAGATCTCCGAAAGCTGTCCCTTGGCGCCCCCCACCCCCCTTCTGGCTTGGAAAGAAGATTCAAGCAGAGTATAGCTTGGGTCCAGACATGTTCCCAGGGCTGGACCAGCAAGTGATAAGCAAGCTTA